ATCGCTGCTCTCACTTCTACGGTACGCCCCTCTACTCTCTCATCGCCTCGTATCTTACTTATCTCTTTCTCAGATCAACACCAGCACGGGTCCCAAGTCCGTCTGCACTCACCCGGCCAACTCCTCTCCCTCCTGCTCTTCCAACGACATCTGCGGCTTCACCTGCAAATCCGGCTTCACCAAATCCGGCAGCTCATGTGTCGCCACGCCGCCTCCCGCCACGGACGTCAGCCTTTCGACCACCGTTTGCGCTTGCATCTCGGGTGCGTTCAGCGTCCGCGGCAAGAGCTGTGGTTCGTTCGGCCTCTCAGTCAGCGACGAGCTCTGCACGTGTATCAGCGCCCTCACCACCTTTGTTACTTCGACCACCCTCTCGCCCATCAAGCTCGGGTTGACGATTGGTAGCTCGGCGGATGTCATTCTTTCGTTGACTGATAAGGTGTGTGGTTCGTTTTTGGTCTTCTTCGAGATACTTATCGATTCGTTCAGATCAACACTGGTTCTCACAAATCCACCTGCTCCCACCCGGACAACTCCACTCCCTCTTGCTCGTCGTCCAACATCTGTGGCTTCACGTGCAAGGACGGGTTCACCAAGTCGGGCAACTCGTGCGTGGCCATCCCGGCCCCGGCGACTGTGGACGTCTCCGTCTCCACCACCGTCTGTGCGTGCATCTCGGGCACCATCACGCTCGGCAGCACCGACTGCGGATCCATCTCTACCTCGGACGCGCTGTGCACTTGCACCAGCGTCCTCGCCGACGTTATCGTCAAGACTTCGCTCTCGCCTATCAAGAAGGCGCTCACCATTGGTAGCTCTCTTGACGTTGTCGCGTCGCTCACTGCCAAGGTACGCTCTCTCTCTCTCTCTCAATTCCTCATCGCTCATCACTCATCCGCGTCTACAGATCAACTCCTCCCCCCGCTCCACCTGCTCTCACCCCGACAACTCCACTCCTTCATGCACGCAGAGCAACCTCTGCGCGTTCACGTGCAGCAGTGGGTACAAGCTCAGCGGCAGCAAGTGCGTCAAGCAGGGCCTATTGAGCGGGCTGCTTAGCTCGATCTTCCATTGGTGAAAGTAATAAAATCTCACCGTTCCTTCCTTTGATTACGGATTACGGACCTCACCTCACCTCACGCTCTTTACGGACTTGCACTCGGACTTGGGATACGATACTTTACTCTTACTCTACTTGATTTATATTATAATTGCGCTACTCTCTTTCAGTACTTCAGGGTAATTTGTTAGTCACACGCTCGTTGAATGGAAGGGGATTTGAAACTGTACTTGCTGTTCATGGATCCAAATCACCACGGCGAGAATTTTTACGGACTTGCACTCGGATTCAGATTCGGGATACTTTACTCTACTTGGTTTATAATTGCGCTGCTCTCTTTCAGTACTTTAGGGTAATTTGTTAGTCACACGCTCATTGAATGGAATGGGATTTGAAACTGTACTTGCTGTTCATGAATCGTGGATCCAAATCAACACAGCGAGAATTCCGACCGGAGGTCAAAAAGTCAACGCCTTTGCCTGTACATGTTGTAATTCCGGACGTAGGTCGCGGAAGTCGATTGAATGCCTCAATGTCGGTTCTGCGCCAGTCGACGTCAGAGCCACACATCTGTCGCGTCGTCGCCCGCTCGAGGCTGTCAGCGACCGCAGGACTGAGAAAACCTGCCGGACACTGGCTGCTTCCGACTTCGAAGTTCGGCCAGACGCCCCTCCTCGCTTCAAGTCTTTCACTTCGCGCCTACTCGCCGTGGCGCACGTAGATCAGCCTGCTTCGGCAACACAATTTAGTCTGTTTTTCGTGTACATCAATAAACTAGGTTGGTGTTTGCCTGTTCGGGACAGACTCGAAAAGAAATTTCAAGGACGTACCAGACCTGCTCGGAACGCGACGACGGGCGCACCCTTCTCTGTCGGCACCTGCACCGGTACCCTTGAAAAACGGGGGACCTGTCCCGTATTTGGTTTCGCGTCCGATTGGAGCAGGCCCCGAAAAAAAATCCATACTACGCGTACCGTCTTTCTCGCTCGATTTCTGTATGAACTTGAAACGGCGCGAGTAGAACTTCTCAGGTGTTCAAGTGGCACCGAAAGAATCGAGCGAGTCGACGTCGGAATTATCGACCCCCGAAGCATGTGCATATGCGCTTCTACACTAAATCCAATCGCTTTCCCCTGGCCAAAAGTCAAAATTCTGGTCCGGCAGCGGCTGTCAGGGCCGAACTCTGTGAAATGAATCTACAAGCCTGGACCGCTCTATAGCAATAGAGCGCCGTGCCTATCCGTCGGAAGCCGTGCATTCACTGAACTAGGACTGCGACTAAACTAATAAGCAGAGTTGGGCTACCCGGAGGTCTCGATTTCAAATGAAATGACGACACGGCAAATTTTTTAGTCCAACTAATAGACGAGTCTGTCAGACAGCCATTTCTGATCTCAGCTACTACGGCAAAATGGACGAACGATGTCGGTATGGGTCTCTCATCGACACTAAGGGCAGGACGCCCGCATGACTTCCGCTGGTTCACAGTCCCGGACCTCACACTGCGACCGAGTACCCCCGAGCGAACAGGAATGGTTTGCCCTGCGGACAGACAGACGGAATGAACTGAAGCCTCGTCGTTTCGGGTAGTAGAGATATCTGTTCAATCCAAATCTATTTCATAAATATTCCATCCAATCCATGTAATAAAATACAGTGCTCAGTCCGAAAAGTTGAACATATACTCAGCGGAGAAGATAATAGCTCCGTCCGCCGTGGCCACTTGATGAAAAATACGACACTGCGTCGGATCTACAAGCTCAAGCATTAGATTTCAATTATAGTTCGCTCCCAGAACGGCTTACCTCTACATTCCAACAAAGTCCCCCAATATTGCGGGACCAACGCAGAAGAGCACAAGATCCCGGACGATGAATGATCCTGAGCTACACCCCACTGGGAACGCAGCACTAACGGAGTGCACTCGCTGTGCACGACAAGGTCGCCGACTTGGACACTAAAATGCGACTCGGCGCAAATCGGCGACGCGGACACGAATGTCACGGTGGGGTCGATAGACGCCAGCGGACGTGGGCGTCGGGATACATGGATCACGTTTGGACTCTCTGCCCACGGCCGCAGTGGACCCTCGTGGACCTCTGCGGACTCGGCGGTGCGGGATATGTCGATCACGATAATGACGTGGGGCGGCGCAGAGGGTTCGGTTGGTGGGCATTCTGTAATGACAGTCTGCGGGGTAGGAAACAAGAGCTTCTGCCCTGCATTGATTTGTGTGAATACGGCACAACCGGGAGTCACTCCACGTACATTCCTGCCCCTTGTACGTTTCCCGGAGTTGCTGGATTCTACTCCCGACTTGTTTGGGGGTGCGCATCTGGCCCGTCTTCTTCCAAATATATCGCGAGACGAATTGATTACGACGGGGAAAACGGCCGAGCATTACAGTCTCTTTGGACGGGGTCGGCTGGTAGTGCTGCAGCCCTGGTTCCAAGAAATAAATAGACATCTTGACGAGCGTAATGTCTCTTACCTTCGATCAGAGCCGCCTCGAGCGTCCGGGACCAAATAGCTTCCCCGCTCTCCAGGGTCTTCCAATTTCGTCGTTGTTCGAGTATAGAGGACAAGAGCTGATTCTCGGGCTTTTGAAACTGGCCATTCTCGAACATCGACGGTTGCGGCGCAAACATGAAGGAAAGGATGGAGCTCGTGCGCGCGTTTTTCAAGGCGCGAGCGAGAGCCCGGGACCTTATAGGTGAAGGACCTACGCGGTTTCGGATGCCTGCGAGGTCCAACGGTTAGCCAGTCCGCATCGGCACCAAACCAAAATAACAACTCAACTTGTCAAGACGCGAGTGCGTCTAACTGGCAGGCTGCAGAATGTGGGTGAAGCGAAGAATTCGAGCCGTAAACCTGAAACGCCTGCGGAGAAGCCTTGGGAGTCTTCGATGCGTCGACGTCACGCAATACGACGGCCATTGGAAGCCATTGAACTGCTCAAAAACAAGTTCGGAGGCAGAGGAACTGAAAGAAGGTTTAGAAGTTGTGGCGCCGTACCAGAACCCGGGCTTAAACAACTAATAAGTAGTAACCGGAGTCAATCGGAAGACTAGTGCTAGCTCGGTTGGCTCGGTTGATACTGTTCAAGCTCTGGAGATTTTTTTTGAGAACGCATAGTCATCAGCAAACTCGGTTGCTAGTCCATCCAGCACTCGACGCACCTGCCCACTCGCCCGGCACCAGATCAAAATTCTTTTTCCGACAGCCTGAGCGACATGTTCGACTTGAAGACGTACTTGTCGGACGCCATCGGTGGCGAACTCACACCGTGGCATTCTGAAGAAGTCAGATGAGTGAACGCGTAACCTGTACACATACTGGTGGGGTCGGCCGACAGCGACATTCTGGCAGCAGGATCCCAGCGTGTGGCACAATTTTACCACCGAACGACTGACCACGATAGCTGTCCCCGAGTTTCCGTCCTTGGTGGTTCAGACACAGGTGGAATATCGAGGATGACGAGAACGATGGAGACCAAGGAACGAGTCAGGGCAGACTGCATTCGTCCCGTTATATCGTTCTCTTCCGGCTTCATCCGAGCATCTCGAGCGGCCAGCGTGCAAGGATACAAGGCGCTGCCGCGGCGCAGTCTGAGTGGTGGTGGTGGTGGTGACGCAAGCCAGGGGTTCCGTTGATCCGTCACACAGCCGCGGCTTGAAGCGGCGCCGGGTTTCTCTCCGACCACCCTCAAGTCCCAGCATTCCAAAGCCAATTGTTCCTCGTGACGGTTTTCCGGACCCCGTTCAATTGTCTAGCCTGAGCTTCGGATCTGACACTTGCCAGTTGCCCGTCTCATCTTGGACAGTGTCACAAGTACATACTTCTTGGGTATTCCTACCAGGCGACGAGGAGAGAGAACAACGATGTCTACTGCCAGTGTGGAAATACTGGGTCCAAAAAGGCAGAAATGCAAGAAAATGGACTCTCGACCAGGGAGTCCAACCCTGCTCTCCCGCGGAGACGGTTACATGTGCGAGATGACAAGCGGGTGTACTGAACCGATATACTAGTCAAGAATTAAAAGGTAGTGTTCGACTTGGGGGTTTACCACTTCATTGAATCACCCGACTCGTCTTCTCCTGGCGCCTGTGGAAACATGACTTTCAACTTGAAGCGGGCCGCCGCTATGATACATCTTGGACATTTCTTCGTTGTCTGCATTTGAATCAGACATACTCCTGTAGCTGCAGGGCCAACTTATGTACAAGCAGTCTCCGCTGACTTTCGCGTAGACGTTCGATTCCCAGAATCATCCCACTCCCGATTGCTCCCCCTTCAATGCGAATTTGAAGTCCGAGGGTGGCGGAACAGCACTGACAGTTGTAATCTCGATTCTGCCAATGTAATTTCCCGCCTTCGAATGTGGGTCTTTCTGGGAAGAAGATGAGGGTGGCGGAACAGCACAGTTTCCTTATCTCGGTTCTGGACAATACAGTTTCCGGCCTTGGAATGTGGGTCTTCTCCTGGGAACGACGGAGCACCGGGACATCGGTGTTGGGTCGACCTTCTCATTCAATACCGACCCAGGAATAATAATCATATATGGTGTTCATCCCGGCGGTTTCTAGGTACGACACAAATCTCCTCCACACGGTACCACTGCCAGTCGAGACTATCTAATCCTGTGCCAGACACACGACCGCCTCAGAGAACACAGTTCTATTTTCGAAGTGAATGGTGTGCTCACCATGCTACTCCGAAGTGCCCGCAATATATTGTACCTCCGGGCAGTTGTCTGGGAATCAGATTCATTTCATTTCCATGAAAGTGGCAGCTGAAGGACCGGGTTTCATGAGAAACGGAGACTTGCTTGCCGGACGTGGGTTGAATCAATGCCGGCTCGGCATCCTATTGATCATGCATCAGTGGCTGTGTAGCGATCTTGTCTCCTTCCACTTGCCTTCCACCATCTCTTCATCTCCCGGGATCCACTGTAACCGACGGGCAGCGAAGAACTTGGAGCTTCATCTTTCCGGACCGGTTCCGTGTCTATCTAATCCACGCTTTTGCTCCGCAGCCGCTGAAAATGTCACTTGACGACGCACCCAACGGCGCCCCTCTAGGAACTATCGTCGAGACTTCTTTTATTGTCTTCGCGATCGCGCTGGACATGAATCGGTCCGATGGAGTCGTTATCGCAATCGCAATCGCAAGGCCTCATTCGACGATGGCCACAGCTTCTGTCAGGACTCTCCCACTCCTCGTAGTCTCAACTCTCACCGCCGGGGAACGGCTCGGAGCGGCTTTGTCTTGTCTTTCAAATAAATGGCATCTTGCTCATGACAGTTTCATCTTGTCTGCTGTCCGTACGGCGAGTCCAAAGTTCCGAGCGCAGCGCGAGAGGCATGCGGACTAGGCGATATTCAGCAACGCTGAAGAAAAGGAATCCTCTCACGGCTATTGACCTTGACCTACGCGTACTAAATGATACACCGGCCCTAAGATTCTGAAGTTCTGAAGTTCTGGCGTTCTCATGCCTGTCGTCGACGTGTCACGAGTGGGGAAGCACTCCCGCGCTCAATGCCACTAGACTCCGACTCTGCATTTATGGCCCACCAGTGTCAGCATTTCATTTGGCCGGCGCACGCAAGAGAGAAGCAATCCATCTGTCAGAACTTATGGTCTTCTCGCTGTCTTTTGTCCTGTGGATGTACGTATCCACATTTGCACTTCTCGCCTCCTGTACCCTCCTTCGCCGATCTCAGACCCCGCGGGAGCCGTCGACATCCAAGCCAATAAACGCCGGATGTGTGGCGGCCGTCCGAGTACGCACGCACTGTTGCCCTTGGGGCCTGAACTTTAAACTGATCAGATGAAATGCAGGTGGGTTTCTGATGAATCCTTTGGGGATGTACGCAGTCCTCATCTCCGCTTCTCTTGTCTTTTTCTCTTTTTGTTTTGTTTTGATCTCGTACTTATCTTCATTCCAAAAGATGGAAGCGGGGCACCACTCCTTCCGATACCTGGTCAAGACCGCTACCCGCTCTCTCCGCCTTTACCTTGGCGAAACAGCGGACGACGGTCTCCTAGACCTGTGCCTGTGCTGATTCGAATACCCCGCGGACATCAAGACCGACCGATAAGCAGATCAACTGTGGGCACCGCCGGCCTTCTAACAATATCTAGATCTCACAAATCCACCCGCGCGCCTTGGCCAGCGCCACTTCTGTGGCTGGGAGTGGCAGTTTCTGCCTCGCTTGTGGGGTCATTTCCCGCGCACCCGGCAACGTAGAGACTTTCCGAGTCCGACATGGGTGGGCGCGCGGTAAGTGATTGTCATACATATCTGTACGTGCACTTGGCCATGGCAAGATTGAACGAAACCCATTGGAGTGGACGCCACCCTGCTAGCGGCACTGGTGATGCTATCCTCGAATAAGCAGCTGTAACTGTCGTCAGCGGCGAGGGAAAGTCTTTTTGGTAGATGGATGTGCAGTCGTATTGTACACTGTATTGGGTCACGACTCACAGTGGAAAGGTCTCTAGTCAATACTGTCGTCCTGAGGCAGCCTCCCGGAGGGCGGATTCGGAGGGGGGGACACCGATTCGTTTCACAGTGCGGATATCGATTGCAGTCCACGGCCACAACCCCGTTTTTGCACCGCACCGGAGACTAGTATACTACCTCGAGCAAGTTCCTCGGATGGAGTTGAGTGATGTCGAGTTTATGTATTCTGTATTCTACTTAGAACAAGTGGCCGGGACGCCGGGTACAGGCCTCGAGGCGCGAGGGCGGCGGCATATGCGGGCGCCGAGCGGTGATTCGAAACCCGTGCAAGTTGACGGACCCCATTTAGCAGGTGCCTTGGTTCAACTTTGTAACATCGACGGATCGAGACTTGGATCATGCGATCAAAGTCAAAGTCGAAGTTGAAACACCTTCTGAGCTTTGACTTGGCAGAAATCAGTGTTGGGTCCTCCGTCGGAGGACTCGCTTGAGTAAGACACTCAGTCCTTCCCGGGAAAGACCGCAGAATTCACATCTGTTCCGTTTCACAAAGGACAGCCAGCCTATAGCAGTCCATAATAGCCGTCTTTGCACCGCATCAGAGACTAGTACCCACCTCAGATGCAATTAAATTCACGCCAGTTTAGGTCCGTATTCTTGAACGACTTCAAGTCACCAGGCGGGCGCGGGTACAGGAGGCCGAGGGCGGCAGGGTATTTCGAAACCGTTGAAGCTGTACTCCAGCCATCCACATTTGATTTCAACTTGAAACTCAGCGGATCGATTGGGACTCGAACGCGGCCATCACACTGGACGGAATGGACTGCACAAATCGGCAGCAATTGGGATTGATGCCAACCAAACTTGAAGAGCCACGGCCACGGCCGGCCATCATGTGTACGATGGGCATTTGAAGAGGTGCGATCAAAGTTGAAACCACCCTTGCTGCCTTGCAGCTTGCTCTGTCACCATTTCTGTTGGAATTTCGAATGACCCCGGCAGAAACCACGGCTCGCTCTCTTCAGCATGTACAAAGCGGCGGATGCAGTGTACAGTCAATATCCTCCGACGGGTACAATGTGTTTTGTTTAGCGAGCCAGGCTCAATGTACGGAAGACGTGCTTCTCAAATTCGTGGAGCCTACCGCAAATACTATCGCAATTGTATCGCAGTCGCTCATGAACATACCTGGATCGGAGATTGAATCTCAACCACTGCATTCCTATGGGCGGGCTACCATAGCAATGTCAACTTTGCTTCTCCAATAGCACCCAGTTGGTTAAATAATCCCAAGTCCGAAGATCATCATTCCGGGTTGGTCGGCGATGCCATTCGACATCACTTCTTTTCCTGATCGCAACCCAGTCTCGACACTTTCAACTCGCGGCGAATACATTATCACGTTGTCTGCCAAGCAGGGCTGCCTCGAACACGCGGTCGCCGAGGTCTTGGCTCCGACTCGCACTGATCAGTTCAGCCACATTAAGCAATTAACCACGCCAGAATTGCTCCCATTCCCATTCAACTTCTTATGCGTGCAATTAGGAGAACGGTGAACTCACAGCAACCCTCAAAATCCTTTGCGTTTTCTTCGTAAATCGTGACCCTGGGCATTCGAATTTCGAGTCTCTCGGATCTTAGTCATACTTCTGCCAGGATGACCCTGGGCCTAGGCATCTCTGCGTGTATGAGAACTTTGTATCCATTTCTATTATCCATAGTCCCAAACGACGCTTCGGTTTAGCTAAATCGCATCAATGGCCCGTCCTTGCGCGCGTCTTTCTTTAATCTAATCGAATTCGGGATGTGGTTTCGCCGTTTCGGAATCTATAATCTGTCTCCTCGAATTTTCATTTCCAAGACTTGCCACTCTTCTCCTTCGTTGAATGAATTCCTTCTCGATCGAAACAATGCTCCCCGCGACTGCAAACTCCGACTCCGATTTTGCTACTGGGTGCAGTACACGTGCAGCTCCCAGTCACCCAGGCCGTTCTTCCCTTCCGTTCTTCCCTCGGTACTTTTAACGATCGACAGTACCCCCTCATCGAAATCAGATTTTGGCCTGAAGCTTCAAAGACAAGATGTTCCGGCGGCGTCCCGCGTCTGCCCATTGGCTGAACCCTAAATGTGCGAGAGGTCCCATGCTCACGGTGCCGTGTTAATCCTGGACAATCTCTGCACCGTGCCGGGCGGAGCACAAGAGGAACGAACATTGGGAGGTGTAGGATGTATTTGAGTATGCACAGGGCCGTACCTCCGGTGGCGGCGGGAGGCGCGTTTTCGGGTGCACCATTTGACGTGGGTCATGGATGGAAGGAATGGGTCCGTGTGCCGGTCTTGCAAATGAAAATCAACCGGTGACCGTGAGACCATCGAGAGTCCAAATTTACTGCGGTGACTGTGCGCTGGTAAGCATGAGACGGCGACTCCGAGTCGGAGCTTTCTTTCTGTCATGAGGGATGACAGTGGCCCTAATGACATCAGACAAAACCTTCGGACCCTGGGACATTCACGTCGAGTCTTGACATTGACAAGGGCTTGCTTCTTGGCATGGGTTGAAAGCTAATG